GCATCCACTGCGTACTCGTGGATGAGTCTGGTTCATTTACTGACGCGTGTTCAGTTCGTTCCAAGGGGGGTAATCACTTCGGCGGGTGTGGTCAGGTCGTCCCATGCGTAATCGCCTCGGCCGATACGTGGGATGGCTACGTACACTGACACGTGGCGATCGCGGTGGGGGTGTGACATAGACCCGTAACAAAGGCTTTGAAGGTGGCGTCCTAGAGTATGTTTCTTTGTATGGGTAACAGGTACTTTGCCAACAAATTGTCCATCTCCCAGATTTTTTAGAACTCAAATTTTTCTACAAATTGTGGCCGGTTCAGGCGCCTTTTTTTGGACTTGTTTGGCTAACAAAGTGGTCAATGGACCACTTGAGAAATAAGGAAGATTCATTTTAATTATGCTTGCAAGTTAAGTGGATTGGGCCGCACTAATTTATTTTCCTTGGACTATTCTTGCTAGTAAAAGAACTTGCCACTTAGTTTTCTCTAATGAATAAAGAAGTGAAATCTTGGAGTTTTCATTCCTTGAATAAAGGAAGAGATGAAATCTTGAAATCCCCATTCTTTGAATAAAGGAAGAGGTGGCATATTTTGGAACCCTTATTCCTTGAAAAAGGAAGAGGCAAATCACCAGATGCTTATCTATGGCATCGCGAGATGTTTATTCCTCGTCTCTCACTATCGCCAAGCCTAGCTCTAAGACCTTGTCTATCTGAGGCCATGTTATAAGACTCCGATAGTTTGAAAGCTCATCGTAGGATGTTTATTCCTCGCCTCACCTAGTCGATGCTTATCCTTAGTTTCACGAGATATTTATTTATCGCTTCTCACTATCGTCGAGTTTAGCTATTAGATCTTGTCATTCTGAGGCCAATTTATGAGTTCTCGATAGTTCGAGAGCTATTCGCAAGATGTTTATTCCTTGCATCGCCAGATTCTCATTCCTAACTTCGCAAGATGTTTATCTCTCGCCTCTCACTATCGCCGAGCCTAGTTTTAAGGCCTCATCTATTAGGTGCCAACTTATAAGACTCCGATAATTCGTGAGCTATTTGTGAGATGTTTATCCCTCGCCTCTCACCATCGTCGAGCCTAGATCTAAGACCTCGTCTTTTCGAGGCCCACTTATAAGATCTTGATAGTTTGAGAGCTATTCATATGATGTTTATTCCCCGTCTCGCCAAATTCTTTTTCCTGACTTTGCGAGATGGTTATACCTCGTCTTTTACTATCTCGAGCCTAACTGTAAGACCTCGTCATTCTGAGGCTAGTTTATAAGACTTTAATAGTTCGAGAGTTTTTTGTGGGACGTTTATTCCCTGCCTCGCCAAATGCTTATCCCTGGCTTATCGATATATTTATTTCTCGCTTCTCCCTATCATCGAGCTTAGTTGTATGACCTCGTCATTCCGAGGCTAGCTTATAAAACTCCGATAGTTCGAGGGCAATTCATGGGATGTTTATTCTCCGCCTCGCCATATTCTTATTCCTAGCTTTGCGAGATAGTTATTTCTCGCATCTCACTATCATCGAGCCTAGCTGTAAAACCTCATCCCTTCGAAGCTAGCTTATTAGACTTCGATGGTTCAAAACGAGCCACCAACTCAATATTCATACCTCACTCTGCGAGATACCTCATCATACAAGATATTGCATTTCATCTTCATCTATCTTCAAAGAGCTTATAGCACATGTACATAAATTGCATCCCAATCAAAGGTGCCATACCCGTCAACTATTCTCCTAAGCACGCCCACTTAGTCGAACTAGTATTCGCTAAGTGCATCCACTTAGTTAAGTTTATATTTTCCTAAGTACATCAGCTTAGTTGAGTCACTCTTAATGATCCCTTCCATGGATGAACCAACATCCACCATGGAGGAAGCCCTTGAAGAGGTGCAGACACCCCCACGAGGTCTCCTCTTCCAAGGATATCCACTTTGATAGGTGAAGCGCATAACACTCCCACTGGGATAGCCTCTGATTCCATCGAAGATGATGCTCTCCATGGATGAACCATCCACTATGAA